TAATAACCGTTGTTCACAAACAAGTGTGAGGGTGGGGCTCACCATTTTGTGTACAAACGTACGAGCAAATACTCCAACAGCCGAAGAACAACACAGAGCGTGGAATCGATTTCGGTCCATGATATCTTCAAAAATTGACATTGAATGTCCGTGAGCACTGTTAAAGCACTGCTTTAAAAACCAGCATCATTGTGCAAAAGCATATTTGCACGCGGGGCGAGGAATACTTCGGAAAACTATTGTTAACACAGTCGCTACATTGGCAACGCAAGTTTAAAGTCTATCATGCAAAGCAAGTGCCAACAACACCCAGAAATGTTGCCGGCCAGCTACTTTTGGTCCAATCTCATCAGAGATGGACTGATGCAAAGCGAAAGTGTGCTGTGGTCTGACGAGTCCATATTTCACATTGTTTTGGGAAATCATGGCCGTCGTGTCCTGAGCCAAAGAGGAAAAGCCAATCAGCGCAAAGTTCAAAAGAGCGTCTGTGATGGTATAGCGCTGTGCCGGTGCCCTTGAAATGAGTAACTTGTCCATCTGTGAGGGCACCATTAATGGTGGAAAATGTTAGTGTAAGTTATAAACGACTTGGGCAATTATGTTATAAAAGTGCACATACTGTATGTAGCCCTTAAAGCGGTGATTTTCAATCAGTCTGCCGTGAGGGATCATCAGGTGTGGTGCAGGAAATTATCCAACATCAGTTTTTTTTTTTGTGTGTGTGTGTGGGGGGGTTGTCTTAAAATATGATTTTGTTAATTTACCTTTGCTAACCACAGACCCACAGGCAGAAGAACTAAAATGCCCTTTCGCTAGATGACAGAAATCATTAACCTGCTGATCCACTTTTTGTGAATTGTTTTGCTAAGTGGTGTGCCGAGAGATTTTTTTTTTTCCGATGGGAAGTATGCGCCTTTGCCGAGCATAGGTTGGGAATCACTACCCCAAGGCACTGGCTGTAACCTCAAAAAGTGAAATGATTCGAGCCATACCTTTTTTATCTGGATCTGCGTGAAAACTTCATGGGTTCCTCCTTGGCCCATGTGCCATTTAACGAACAAACGTCAAAACATAGCCTTGTGAGATGAATGTTTGGTGGAGGTAATAAGTAGCTTGACTCATTCAATTTTGGTTCTGCGTCTATAAATTGGTATTTTTCAATAGTTAGTAATGTGGTCAGACATCATCAATGGTTACTATATGAATTTGAACTCTCCCAGAACTTTAACAGGAGGAAAGTTTATGACTACTGAACACACTTTTTTAAATAACCCAATTCCAACCAAGCCTTAGGTTTTTTTCATTCAGATGTACTAAAAGTAGTTTTCATCTGTTTTGTGAGAGAGACTGTTATTGGAGTTTGATGCTCTACTCAGCTTAGTAATTGACAAAATGTTGATAATTGTTCCCTCCCCCCCAATAGTAATTATGTAGTCCTTTCATCCAGAAATGCTTGCAGCCACTCCTTTTTTTTTCCCCTCCTCTCTCGATGAACTGATCTGAATGCCGCACAGTATTCACATTAAGTTCACACGTGCAGCCGCACTGCCCATAGATTGGGCATGGATGTGTTTGCATTCATGACAAAAGGTCAACAACAATAGAACGATCTCTTCTCTGGCATAGATCTCTGGCTCTCCTTGGCAGGCAAAGTGTCATTGGCACCTCAGCGGTTCTCCACCTTGTTTTTAATTGCTTCCGAGTTAATTAGCCCAGTACGTGTGAAACAATGTTGTCAGACTGCACAGCCATGCTTCCACTCCACTTTCGACTCCAGACCCCCTGCTTGCCAAGCCAGCGGAGGCGTCCTAGGTGGCGCGCTGGTGCATACAAAACACGGGGATCATTATGACTTAATGCTCTTTATTTGTTGGCCTGGCAGGGCTTCACTTTGCAGGACACCTGGATTCATTTTAATGTTTCTCAGCGACAGCAATGTTCAGGCTACTAGCCTATATAAGTACTGTACTGTCTAATGTCTAACTACTCTCCAATGACATTGACGCCAGTCCAATTTATTAAACAAAATAATAACAACAATTGGGGATACAGCTATCAAATATTTTTAGAGGGTGGGGGGCGTAGGCAACATAAAAGTGGGGCAGCCGAGCTATGGCTAAGCTAATCGCTAATAAGTGAGGCTACACGGTTCGGAAAATGGATCGATGGATGGGTAGCAAACGCTGTGACACTGCACTGCGTCCTCCTCTTATTGGAATATAAACAGCCACGGCTCGTTCAAGTGCAGCTATGGTGAGTGATATTTTTTATAATTATTTTTAATTTTGATCTTTAAATGTCTTCATGACGGCCTGTCGTACTACTTAGGATATCAATTTATCGTTTAGCTCCATGTCTCGTGCATCGAGAGAGATTCCTGCTCGCTTGAAATCGCCGTACTTTACTGTTGTATATGTTAGTTGCTCCATGTACAGCACTTTGTATGCAGCGATGGCTGTTTGAAAGTGCTCTATAAATACAGTTGAGTTCAGTACTGTATGTTTATCCAAATACGTCAATCGATATGCATCAGATAAAACTTATGTCATAACCGGCTTTTAATTTGGAGAGTATTGATTTGATCACTTGGAAATCAACCAGTGTTGAGCCAAGGTACCTATTTTACATTGGAATAATTTTAATGGGTAACCAGCATAGAAAAAAAACAAAACAAAAAACTACCATTCATCCTCTTATTCTCACAAAGGTCACGGGCGTGCTGGAGCCTCTCCCATCCGTCTTCGGGGAATAGGCAGGGTACACCCTGAACTGGCTGCCAACCAATTGCAGGGCACATATAGACAAATATTCACACTCACAATTCCACCGAGGGATAATTTAGAGTGTTCCTTTAACCTGCCGAGCATGTTTTTGGAATGTGGGAGGAAACGGGAATACCCAGAGAAAAACCACACAGGCATGAGGAGAACATGCAAAACTCCACAGAGGAAGGCGAGAAATAAGATTCTCATTTATTTTGATCGTTTCTGGAAAAATGTACTAACTATATACGTATATCATGACCAACTTTCGGTACTGATACTCATCAGAGCTTTTGTGGTTCCTCATGGGCTCACCGATTTGAAGTGATTAGAGTTCAGAAAGGAGCAAAATGTGACAGTACACGTTTTTTTTTTCGTCCTCTGACCCCTCTTCTCGAGTCTGAAGCGCGATTGAAATGTGTTATTCTTTTAAGATGCAACAACAAATTTGTAGTATGCAAAAAAAATAACATTTCGGTTCTCGGTATGGTGAAGCAAGTGGTTATTTTTGTAATCCAAATATCGGGGTTAATTGATTAGCTTCCGCCTTGTTTATGAAGCCCGTTTGAAAATACTGAGATGCTTTGCCATGCAGACACAAGAACATGATGAAAACCAAGTTCAAATGATGAATTAAAGTCACACCTTTTATCAGCCGCAACATCACTATCGATGTGTTGTTGATACCGCAGCTCAATCACCAATTAAAACATGTTTTCTTACATTGTGTCAGCATCGTCTCTGGCCACCAGACATGTTCATGTTTATTTGTGCCAATTCCTCTGTTGTGAATTGATTAAACCAATGTGCGGTACCTACTCGGCTTGGCACAATTCAAATCGCTTTTATGCTGGCAAATGCAGGTCCTATTTTTAGTACCAGTGTGGTTTCCAAACTCACAGAGTTAACACTGAACGGGTCATGTAAACCATATGCTGCCCCGCGCATTGGCCCACGAGATCATCATGTCATTGTAGCAGTAGATGTTGCCCAGCCTTAGCTTTGATGCAGCAGGTATGTGCCAGGAGTCCATCCGACTCCTGTTGTTGTTCTAGTTATTTTTTTATTTTTTGGCGGCTTGTAACAAACGATGCGTTCAATGCTACATGTTTTCCACAAGTTCCACTGTGCTATTTTGGAGCGGAAATCCGTCTTCCCCAGTGGGATGCATTGTGGTTGGCCGCACATTTCTAGTTTTAGAACAAAGAGTGAAAATGTTAGGCAGGGTGAGTTTGACGTGCCAATATGAATTCCTCTGTTGCCCGGGACATATTTCTCTGCCTGTCATCCGCTGTGCTGTGTTTGATGATGGCGCTTTTATAAGTGCTGCGGCCTTTCCGCTGAGGTTTGATCCTCCGAGGTCTCCCTCTCCTCCCTGCTCGCCCGTCTCTTTCCGTGCCACTTGCATGGGCGCCATAGATCACGGCTGTCGCAGCATGTGTAGGTGCTTGCACCGCTCTGTTAGTCTCATCACTCATTCCCGTGCTCGTCAGCCGGGCTGCTGATCTTGCCCCCCCGCTCCCTCCCCGCGCGTTACGTACTCCTTCTACTCGCTCGCTTTTTTTTTTTTTGCACACGTATTTTTTAATTAGGCAAAAATTATATATCTCTCAAAGAATACATGAATATTCATAAGAAAGCTGCATTAATATGCACAATTATGCAAATCAGCATGCAATTAAGCCTTGTGTCTCCGGAGAGAGTGGATAGCATTAGTGCACAAGACGGGGAGAAGAGGATGATGGGGGATATTTTGAGGAGTTTTCAGCTTCACCAGCCTTTTGGCTCTGAGTGTTTCCTTTGCGTTTCACATGACGCCCCCCCTCCAAATCTCATTCTGGGTTGTGTCCATCTCACTTTAAAGTAATATAATTTTGCTCCATTGCATTTGGGAATGTTTAATTTTTCTCATTTTCAGTGGCTGTAATGAACGCTAATGGCTACATTAATTTCCTGTTTTTGCTTTTGGTTTTTTTCCCCTTAAACATTGCATCTTAAAAGCGGCTCATTTGGTCGTTAGTGATTCTCTCGTGATTTCTTGTGTGCGCGCATTGTGGCCACTTAAGGACCGAAAATGTTCACTCGAACATGATGGCACAATCCCTTAATGTTATTCCAACCTCATTGACAAATTCATTAATAAAATGTTCAGGCTTTGTTTGCTTTTCTCTGGCGCATGTTCATTATACTGCTCTAAACAAAATGTCTCTCCCCTCTCCCCCCCACCACCACCACTAGATGAGCGCAGCAGCTCTGGTTCCTGGGGTTCGGCGGAACAGAGCAGTCCTTCTTTCAGCCAAGGACGGGTAAGCTCGAAATGAAATAAATGATATTGCCACATACGCGTTTTGGGAGGGGCGGGTGGTGGTAAATCACTGCTGTTGCCAATCACACGCACTCACCAAGCATCGAGGCGATGGAGTGCATTTTGAAGCCACATGCCGCATTTGATGTGAAGTTGTGCTCCTACTTTGTACCTAATAACCTTGGCTCAGACTCATGCATTGGCAAGCCATCTAGTAGCCCGAAACCTCTGTGGAAGCCCACCGGTAATTCCTGCCTCACATCCGCCGTTTAATGTCTTGGCACAACTCCGTGTCGAAATAAGGAACACGGGCTGAGCTACATGCAGCATTGCTTTTGATTTGCACGCGTCAATAATGAAGAAAGTTGCTCCGAATCCCCCAAGCTTGATGCAAATTCGTCTGGCGTTCGTCCTGTAAGTTAAGCAGAGGGGAGGGTAGCCGTGAAAGCCCAGTAGGTGTGCCAACACGATGCGGAGGACCCGGATGAGTGCTTGTCATGCCTGTTGATCTTAAAATGTTCTCATCCTTCTCCGATGGGTCTTTGCAGGGCTACGGAGAAGGATCTCACTACAGTGAACATGAAGGCTTGGCCTCTCCTTTCCTAAATTCAGGGATTGCAGGTATGAACTTCAGTGTGTGAAATCTTGCTTGCCGTTGACAATTATCATTTGATCTCTCTCTCTCTAGCTCTCTCTAATTCTGGTTTTTTTTTTTTTTTTTTTTAATTCCTAAAATGTAATGTTCGGAATATTTAGTTATAGCCAGAAGTACTTTTTTGTGCATGCATGTGTGTGTGTGTTCTGTTAATTGAGTGTCAGGGCACTGAAGTAGAAAGCTTCCCCAGGGTTTTATCTGCCAGGAAGCTTGATGCAACCGTGCCTACAAAAAGAAGGGGAAGGGCATCTCTGAACTTTGTTCTACTTAAAAAAACAAAAAACAAACATTTTCATTAGATTGGGCACAAATTCTTTCCTTTCCTTTGGCATGGGTGTTGTTATAATACATTGACCTACCAATTGCTCTTTCAGGTAAAAATGAGCGGCCGTCATACTCCCCCTTTGCAAACCAGGTAAGTTGTGCATCTTAAAGCTACATTTCAGCCTAGTGCGGCAGTTCAGTATGATTTGGCTTCACTAGATTTGAATTTGGTGTGTAGACTTGATAGGAACGGCGGTCCGGTGGTTAGCGCGTCGACCTCACAGTGGGTTCGATCCCAGCTCCGGCCTTCCTGTGTGGGGTTTGCATGTTCTCCCCCAGGCCTGCGTGGGTTTTCTCCGGGTCCTCCGGTTTCCTCCCACATTCCGAAAACATGCATTGCAGGCTGATTGAACACTTGCAATTGTCCCGAGGTATGAGTGTGAGCGCGAATGGTTGTTCGTCTCTGTGTGCCCTGCGATTGGCTGGCAACCGGTTCAGGGTGTCCCCCGCCTGCTGCCCGAAGACGGCTGGGCTGGGCTCCAGCACCCCCGCGAACCTTGTGAGGAGAAAGCAGATCGGAAAATGGATGGATGGACGTGATAGGAATAGCGGCGTCGCAGCACGACAGAACAAGACATGGGATATTACTCTTTTTAATTCTCTGTCAATAAGTCAGTGCAAAGTCATGTTTTGTGTTCCACCCTAAACCGTCACACTGAATGTACTACTTTGACTTGTACCCTGTCGGCAAAAAACACCTGTCGGAGAGCAACAATGGAGAAGAACGGGGGTCTCCTGTATTTATTTTTCACCATGTGGCTGCTAGCTCCAGTTAGGAAACACAATGTATTCCAAATGAAACTGAGGGAAGCAAAAACTGAACCGGAGACTTTCAGGTTTCATACTGCTGCACCCAGTCTCAGCCTCCGAGGGGTTCAAGGTTTTTCCGTTGCCACTCCCTCCCTTTGTAATGACCTCCCGTTGAACGATAGGCAAGCCCCACTAGTGTTTTGTTGTGTGGATATAATAAAGTTGAGTACAGTAATGCAACAGCAAAAAAAAAAAAAAAAAAAAAAGCTAACATTAGCTTGTCCATTTATTTTAGCCGGGATTTAAAAAATGTTTTAATTACGCAACGATAAAAGTGCGACCACTAGTGGCTGACCACTCTTATGTCAGAGCGGCATAATCGGAACACTTGACATCACATCATCAGGAATGCTTTATGTGCAGGCTGCACTCTTATGTCTTCAGTGTAACCTCACTTTTTGTGTGTTTGCAGCCTGGTTTCCTTCCAAGTGAAATTGCAATGCCCAGCCCAGATGCCATGTCCCCCTCTGGCCTGAAATCAGGCTCCCAATTTTACCAATCCTACCCAAACAATCCACGGAGGAGGCCACCCGATGGAGGCTTGGGTAAGATAAATACAAAGTAACGGATCGCATCATAAAAATGTCTTTGTGAGTCAGATGCCAAATTCCATTCTTGTACTCACTTCTTTGAATTAAAATACTTGCTCTACAAAAAAAAACAAACAAAAAAAAACCACTCAATGCCATTTCAATGCCATGCTCCATCGAATGCCTGCCAAAATATTTTCTCTGTCACTCAACACACACACAAACCCTGGCACACGCCAAAACACTGCAATTGTGTTCTCTTACAACTGTAGCAGGGACACGAAGATAAAGCACCTGTGTTGACCTTGATGCTTGTTTATTGTCTCACTTTTACCTTTTTCTTTGTTACCTCTGTCTGCATGCAGACTCTCAGCCAAAGAAGATTCGGAAACCCCCTGGCCTTCCTTCCTCGGTGAGACCTTTCTTTCCTCTCATTGGTCTCTCGCTCTTTCTACACACACACACACACACACACACACACACACACACACACACACACACACACACACACACACACTTACACTTCTTGCTCTCCCTCGCCCGCTCTCCACACACACCGACACATGCAATGCTTTCCCCGCTCCGCTTGAGCACTTCTGTGACAGACGGGGTAAAGACCCACAGTGAGCTGACATCAACATGTATCAAGCTCAACTTCTACCACCCGTTCACTCTTCCCGCACTTTTCATCGCAATGTCGGGCCTAAAATGTTGATTGAATTGTTGCTTTTATTCTTTCGGTGTGCCGTTAATTCTTGATGTCTGGTCCAAGCCGCACAAAGGGTCACTGTACCAGATTTTGTCAGCACGCCCAGAATTTCCGGCAGCTGATGGTGGTGGGGTGCGACCCGGCACACATAGTTGGAAATGCAAGTCATCTTTACATGTTGGACTATATAGTCAGCGAATCGGCAGTTGCCCACGTCACTCCCCTTTTTATAGACCGAGTTTAGTCTTGTGTGCTAATTACTATGCGGCCTCGTCGCACCGCTTCATCTACTCTAGTTCATTTTAAGCACCGCAGGAACGCTACTTTTGTCTCCAATCACGTGTTGTTTCACTGTGCTCAACCTAGCAAAATGTTTTTCTTGCCTCTCACTAGTGTGTGTGTGTGCGTGCGTGCGTGCGCACACATACATAAATACAGAAAACTCGTGCAAGGTGTTTTCGACTTGCTTAGTCTATTTAGTAAGGTGAGATGATGAAACTAATGCACTTCAGTCTAATTTGCAGGCCATAATAATGAACCTATTGTGAACACCTCTCTGACATTACCCATCAAAAAGGATCCCAGTTATGGATTTGATCCAGATTGGACGTCATAAGAATGTGCAAGTGTACCTCATACTGTGGTTTTGCTCACGTTTTATTGTGAGGTTATATGAGAAATGGCTTCGCTTGTTTTGTCAGAGCGAGTCGGAAGCGGATTTTTCTGGTTGGCCAGGTCACAAATTGCATAGCCATGGATGCATAATGTGGCATGAGTTTAAATGTAGCGTAAACAGTCTGGATTCGGTCTCTTGTTGTTTCTGTGAGATGGAGTTAGTGCAACCTCAACTACATTGATAAGAGCAGGAGTGCATCAGATGGATTAATGGCAAATTGCAATTTTAATGTCACAACAGAGTGCATGAATTTTTGTGTCCCAGTTAGTCCACCTGTGGGTGTTGGCGGTTTGAAGTGGCTGCTGAAAACCACCGCATGTACGCACTTGGTTCTCCTCTGCGTCCGTATCACACACAGAGCGCGTGTGAACTCGACGCAACCTCCCCCCCTGCCACTCTGTATTCTCACTGTCTGAACCACATTCTCTTGCGGTGTGACCGATGGCCACGTGGTTTCATCGCAAATGATGAGATGTGCGTGAACCCACCACCACCACCACCACCACCACCCCCGCCTCAGTCAACCCGCGCCTATGCCTCAGCACATGATGGCCTGGGTGGGCCTCCCCCCGGTGAGTGACCCAGTTGTGAGGCACGGTGCTTGTGAGGCCTCTTAGCCCCCCGTGTCTGAGCCCAGATTAATGACTGCCAGTGATGATCCTGTGCTCCCGAATTGCCTCCATTCCTGCCTCGCCTGGACATCCGTTGCCAACTCCTTTTGTGCTTCGATTTAGCAAATTAGGAAACACGTTCCCCGTTAAGACCATTCATGCTTCATGTGAGCTCTTTTACTTCCTCGAAGCAAAGTGAAGTAGCTTATCCCTGTTGTCCATTAAACTAACCACAATGCCCTGGGTGGTGGAAGAATAAAGCACTTTGAGTTTCGTTGGACGTTAATCTGAATCTACTCCCACCAGTGTTTTCCTCGCAGATACCCCTTTGCGCGGTCATACTCTGAATTGCATTAAGGTTCTATTAGTTGAGGATTTTAGCCTGGAAATCCTTTTTCTTCATGAGAATATAGTTACGCTGCATCACACCAGTCATTGTGTCGTTCTGTTTCCATCTTGAGCAACAGGATTCACATGACATTGTTCCCCGTGAAAGAATAACTCAAAGCCCATTGTTAAATGAAGCCATCTCAGTCCTGTTTTTTTTTCCCCTGAATTAACAGCGATCATGTTAAATCCCCCGTTTCCTTCACACTCCCCTGACCATATCAAGCTTTAAGTCATTTAGATTACCTTCTATCAGCCCCCTCCCTCAACACCCCTTATCTATCTA